TCAATTTTAGTTTTCATACAATATTCATTTACAAGACAGGGAAGGTGCAAACAACCCATCCACATGTTTTTCTGAAATGATGTCCTAATTTTCAACCCCTTCCATCCCTGCTTTTCCAATTTTTGTTGCATCAATTAACAGAAATTATCAGTTTCCTTGGACCAAACACTGCTCAAACTGAATGATTTGATTATATGTGTTTCCAAAAATGTAGCCATTTGTGTTCTATTGTTGAAACACATTCTTCATAATCAATGCACTCATGTGATCTCCAGCCAGTTTATAGTAATATATTATTATTGTCACGCCTAACTATCGACAACGTACAGTGACGAAATATACGGCTGTACACTTGGAACATGGTTGGAATTACCTAGTTGAAAACAATCGTGCTCTGTTTGAGAATCTGTTAACGTAATTAAAAAGTTTAAAGTCTTGCCAGGAGCATGCACATGAAATTAAACATGAACAACTTCATCATATTCCCTAGATAAATCATTTAAAACCTACATCACAATTATTTGATGCAAACAGTTAAAGTGTACATCCGTATATTTTGTCACTTTACGTTGTCGATGGTGAGGCTTAATTGTGAATGATCTTATTTTTTCTAATAATTACAGTATGAAAAATTAGGAACACTTTTAGTAAGAGTTTTTCTAGGGTTCAGAATTTAAAAGTACTTTAGGGTGTTTGACTGAGTGGTCCACAACTCGTACAAAAGGCTGTGGTGTGTATTTGTATGTATGGGTGCACTAAAAATAACACAGGGCTCCTTTGAGAATATTTTCTGGCTTTATCATCCAGGCTTATTACGTTAATTACGACCGTACATATACGGGATATACCCAAGAGGTATTGCTCACCTTAATTGGTGGTAAACAAAATACAATACAATACAATACAAAACAATTTAGTGGATAACGGGCATTGCTTCGCGGAGCTTTCACCAAAATTCTCTTTGGGGAGAAGTAAAGCTTCTAAAATTTATTATTTTTTCTTTTTGCTCCGAGGGACAATTTTAGCCTCCATTTCTTGGAGACCGTAATACCGACCAAACTTAAAGAAAATAAATTTATATCGCCATAATCGTATTAAATACGTGAGGTTAAGTGAGGATCAAGACAATATGAAGAAACAATGTCATGGTAAACGCCGTAAACCTCCTTAACGTCGTATATCTTCAAAGAAAAATTAATTTGTCGGAATTCTTTCATTAGTTTAGGAAACTGAAGTGTCTGGCTGATGTATAAAAATTGCACTGTTAATCTAATCAATATTTCAAGATGATAGGGTTAGAATTATAGAAACTATGATCATTTTTGTGAAAAAATGATAATTTCTTTCCAAAATTTGTCGTGCTTTCTAGAAGGTTTGAGAAGTTCTAGACCGTGTTCAGACGAAATGTTGAGACGCAGTGATACAAGAGGTATATCTGCATGGTATGGTCAATGTTTCTACGAAAGGGAAAGAACCATATTCTGTCAAAACGTCGAAATAAATGAGTACTTACAAATTTCCCGCCGAAAATACTATATCTAGTATAACGTCGTAATTTTCCGGTGTTACGACGTATAAGAGAATTGGGATGTGATCTCTGGAGAATAAAAAAATGGGAAAAAGACCACGTGCAGTATGGCAAATGATTTTAGACAGTCATATCTTTCACTTTGAGTACTTCTAGCCATAAATACAGTGGCTTTTATTAAAACAATATGTTTTTTTTCAAGTGAAGTCCCAATGATAGTAAAATATCAATTCAACTCTCTGAAAAATTATGGATTAGGGCCCCAGCTTGGCACTTTTTGAAAAATGTTAGGCTTATTTTCTAAAAAGAGGATCTTGTTTTTCTCAATTTAAACATATCGAAAGTCTCCCCTACACTATATTAACAATTTCTGAAAAGGGGATGGGTATTGAAATGAGTTAAAGTTAAAAACCACATATCCCATGTTATTTTCCCATAGGGAGAACTCGTGCTATCCATTGTTTTCAGCATAACTTTGGTCATCGAAAATTGATATCTTCAAAACTACACTTTCAATACCATTCTATTTTTGAACATGTCTTAGACCCCTTGTTGAATAATGTTTTCATACAATCCATTGTTTTCAGCATAACTTTGGTCATCGAAAATTGATATCTTCAAAACTACACTTTCAATACCATTCTATTTTTTAACATGTCTTAGACCCCTTGTTGAATAATGTTTTCATACAATAAAAATCAGAAAAGAAGATCCTCTTTTGAGTAAATAGGTTAAATATTTTGAAAAAAATGTTGACATGGGGCCCATATTCACAATTTTCGAAATGTTTGATTTATATTTTTATCATCATGGGTACTTCACTTGAAAGAAAACATATTGTTTTAATAAACACCACTGTATTTATGCCCAGAAAGTACTCATGGTGAAAGATATGACCATCTAAAATCACTTGCCATACTGCACGTTGTTACGCAGTTAGCACTATACAAAAATATGTCATATTCCGCAACGAATATGGCATATTCACTTGCGGTGTCAATTGCATCGATTGAACGAACAAGTAAAACGTTTTAAGTTATTATAATGATTACTGAATCAACAGTTCTGTGTATCGAATAGATTAACTTAGCAGAAGTATCAGTCACCAATCTGGCGTTATAAACTTACTCAATCAATCCAGGATTCATATATTAGTACTTGAAGCACTAACTATATTGGTAATCCAGCGTAGTGCATTTAGAGTTGATTCTCGCAACCAATCAAATCAAGGCTTTCTGTACCTGCGGTATATGTCATATTCACCTGTGGTATATGGCATATTCCGCAAGTGAGTATGACATTTTCCACGGGTGAGTATCGGGTATTCGCTAAAATCAATGTATTGCATATTCATACCGGAATATCGCATACTCACCTGCGGAATATGCCATATACCGCTGTCGAGTATGGCATATTCACCCGTCTCACAAATACCGCGCAACCTTGAATGTATGCCATATACCGCGTAACACACGTGGTCTTTTGGAGTTATAAGAATAAATTCAAGTAACTTGTCTTATCATGTCTTATATGCACGTTACCCCCCCCCCCCTTGCACGTTGGTGATGGCGCGCCATTTTTATAGATTTCATATCTAAGTTGCGTATCAGTTCAAAACAATACTAAAAGACCTTACATATTTTGCCATGCACTGTGTCTATTCAGCTGTAAATTTTCTCTTGCAAAATAAATCTTCAAAATTTGTTGAGTTCTTTTGCAGAAATAAATCGTCTACTCCCCCCCCCCCCTCTCCATTCATTTTGTACGACACCAGGCGTGTCTATGGAAATATAAGTTTTGCTCGAAGGCCGATTTTCAAAATGGCCACTCGTTTCAAAATGGCGGCCATCTTTGTTTCTATTTTACAGTTATTTAGGTACAATATGTGAAACGGTAATAGCAATATGTTTTAAATGTAAAAATATTATACAGGATATTAATAAAGCTTAAAATGTACATAATAAAGAAGCACATGGAAGCCATCTTTAAAAAATGGGGGCCTTTTCACACTTTTTGGGATATTTGCTGTTAATATAAGCACTTTTGGTAGTAGGCGTCCATTTTTCAAAATCAATTTTTACGTTTTTACTATAACTCGAAAAGAAGTGGAGCGATGTTGTTCATATTTGATATGTGAATATAAGCATGGCATACTGTCTAATGGCACTTTTGGGGAGTAGGCGGCCATTTTGAAAAGTGGCCACCATTTTGACGTGTGTTATATTTTGTTTTAATAGACTTCAAAAATCAATTAGCGATTTTGTTCATATTTGATATGTGAATTCTCATAAGCATGGCACAGAGTCTTGTGATATTTTGACCATTTTTCAAAATGGCCGCCATTTACATGTGCATGTGTGCGATTTTGTTGAAATTTTATATGTGCCTACTAAGAAGCATTTTACACTTTCTAATGACAACTTGGCTAGTGAGCAACCATTTTGAAAATGTTGGCCATTTTTGTGTTTTATTTTGCGGTTTTACTATACTACTTTGAAAAATTCCAGCCATGGCTGTTCGATTGGATTTACTACGCTTTGGCGTTGCTGTTGTCTAGTTATCAAAACGTCTAATTCGGAAATAATTGTTAATGTGCCGTTTAAGTCTACACTAGATAACCCTACTATCACACCAAACTAGTTCTCACTACGTTCTCGAAAACGGGCTTCAACTGTTTACGAACGGACTGAACCTACTAAGAACCGTTTGGGATCTATTTACAAACTTCATCGAACGTACTCGAACGGGTAGGTCCTCTAGAACTTAGACAATGCTCAAAATGTTCTCGTGGTCGTCACGTTCTACAATTAGAACGAGTGACAACGTACTAACGACGAGCTGGACGTACTACGAACGGAACCGTCGTACTTCAATCCTACTAGGGACGTTTTAACAACGAGTTGAACTGTCTGAGGACGTGTTGAGAACGAGGTAGAACTAATTGCAAACGGGTTTAAACTGATTAAGAACGTATTTAACACTGCTTATGAACGAGTTAGCAAAAATATAGCTATTACACCAAACAAGTTGCCATTGCGTTCTTCAAAACCGGTTTTAAACTGTGTGCGAATGGAATGAACGTAGCTGCAACTTTCTAAGGACTATTTACGAACTTTATGAACGTTCTCAGACGGGAATAAGATTTTAGAATTTTGAATCGATTCAAAATTCGATGGCGACCATACCGTTCTGTAATCAGGTCATGTTGACCTTCTAGACTAAGGGACGCGTTCTACGACGTTGCACACCGACGTGGTGCGACCTGAACGAACTGCGAACGAGATGGACGTATTGAAGACTGTTTAAGAACGAAGAAGCTAATTATTTCAGACATATTTCCCGACCACAGCCAGATTGAGCCCGTTTTACGACGTTTTCGTAGGACTGGCAAGAACGGGTAAGAACTTGTTTGGTGTGATAGGGGGGTTACCAAAATGACTGTTTATGTAACTTGTAAAACTTGAATTGATACCTGATATCTGATGGTTTTATCTCTATGTATTGTGTATGTATTTTGACCTAGTGTGAGTTCCACCATGTTAATGAATGACACGTCATCAGGCCATTTTGCTTCCTCATCGAATACATAATTATCAACTTCTCCTCTCCCTGACATTAGCCATGCAGTAACAGAGAAAACAAGTTTCTCTTGTAAATGAAACGCAATTAAAGTTTGCCAGCATCCAGTCTGGACATCATAAGAGTGCCCATCGAATGTGATATAGTGAGCAGCTCCCCATATCCGGCATTCTGCCCATTCTAGAATAAATAGGTATTATAAATATTATTATTTAATTGTATTAATAATTTGTTATTCTACCTTCCATCATATTGTCGATTAATTATATTTCTAATATAATTTTCAAACAATTTTATTTTAAAAAGCATTCAACTTTACAATTCTTTTAACATGGCCGCGATTAAATTTACATGTGTGGCTTTTTAACATTTTTATTTCAGTTTAAACAGCATTAAGATGTACGTATATACGGATAGTTAGAGACCTATGATAATAAATGAAAATCGCATATCAAATCTGAAAATGTATCAATGTTGCTTTCGCAACTGAAGTCATATGACAAAAATTACGATTAGTAATACTATTACGTCTTTTCGACTTTAAAAAACACTCAGAGCTGAACCTTCAAATAAAGAGGAAACTGGATCAACGAATTATTACCATGATTCCAATTGAAAGAGCTCCCCTCTAAAGGTATGAGTACCGTAACAGGGGCGGATCTGGGAACCAACAAGGGGGGGGGGCCCAAATTCCAGGTCAGAGAAAAAATGTTCAGCAAAAAAGAATTTGAGCCCCTAAAACCAAAAGTGAGCCCAAATTTTGAAATTTTGAGGCCCATTTTCTTCAAAATTTGGCCTGAAATTAAAAAACAGTTATGACCAAAAGGCCCACTTTTTGGGACCTTTTTTAGCCCAAAATCTTTTTGGGCCCATTTTTTTCTAGGCCTATCCAAGGGGGGGGGGGCGGGCCCCCAGCCTCCCCCCCCCCCTCCCAATAGCGTCCATTTATTGTAACTCGCGTTCGCTTCCATTTCCTTAATTCTGAGATGACGGGTAGTAAACATGCGCACGTCGGAACTATTTTGACCTACATCGCTATTTTCGTAATCCAAATTAAAGTCAAGCTCCTCCTCTCTATTTTGATACCAAACAGTGGCATACTAGTTACCCTAGAAGCCAACTATGGCGGTATTTAGAACAATACCACAGGTTTTTAAATGGATTATATAGGGGTCATACCTTTTTGGCGGATGGATATGGAACCTCATACCTTAATGTTTTATGGCATCACACTGATTTTTGTCTCTGCAACTTTTTTTGGGCAAAAATATCATTTTTAGTTCAAAAATGCATAAAAACGACGGAACTGGCTGAATATGTGAAATATTTTCCCATTTAGGCTAGAAAGGGTTAATTTGCCCTACCCCAAATACGTCTACATATGCTAATCTAACTTTGCCACTGTGACGTCACAAATCTAACCTGACTATCTCTGAGTTTATTGAAGAAAATGATAAGTTTGACTAACAGCTTTCATTCCCTATATGGCAAACCTTCTACTAAGAGTTGCATCATTGACTAAATCTACGACAAAGGCCATATGTCCCGAGGATTTTGACTGAAATTTGGCCATTTTCGCCCAAATCTAAGTAAATAGCGGTGTCCCCCACAGCTGTATTTTGAAATAAATATGCTACAATGTAGCAATTTAAAAATCACACATGCTTACTGTTTCTGTTGACCTGACACGTGTATCTAGCCTGTAAAAATGAAAAATCGCTACATTGTAGCAATTTCAGTGAGATACGGGCCCTCAAAATCATGTAATTTTAGCAATAATGAAGAAATAACCTGCAAATTTGACGGAATTTCAAAGGGCTTTCTTTCATTCATGACCCTCCACGGGCCTCTTTTCCCGTATCTCATTTTGATCGGTTGAATTAAAGACTTTTTTGTTGGTAGAACATAAATTAATTCAATGAGTTTAAAGACACTTTGATTGATTGTTGTTCCAAAGGAATTTAGTCTAGGTGCTCTATTAAACATCAAGTTTCATGAAAATCTAATTGAAAAGACGGTTATATCCTACATTTGTGACCACTGTATCTGACTTTACCGTTGTCAGGCTATTCCGGCGTGAATTGTAACATCCGTGAGCTTATCGGAGAACATTTCAAAAAAGTGCAGTCAGACCCAATTTAGTTGATAGACCAATGAAAAGAAAAATTGAAATTGAACTCCCAAATTGCGTTCTTCTCGAGTGATTCTAAATAAACGTCAAGCGGGCGAAGCTGCTTGTTCACTGTTCCACAGCTGGACAACCCTGACTTCAATTAGTAGCATTCAAATGGTGGACATAATGTTTTGTTTTCGGTAAACCTGATGCAACATTGGTGAAAACTTGCCGTCAATCTGTGGAACAGTGATAGATGAATAAATACACGTTACCGTTGTTTGTAAAAATATAACAAGAATACTTCAACTCACACCGGAATAGCCTGACAGCGGTTAATTCAGATACCGTTGTCACAAATGGCAGACATAACCGTCGCTTCAACTCTTCACTCACTTGGTTATTATTTCATGAGACTTTATTGTCGCTAGTTTTGTGCATGTATTTAGCTCGTATGACGATGTATTATATGAAATCCCAATTTCTATCAAATGGGGTTGTGAATCGCCACAATATAGCGCATTAGATATTGTCAATGACAACGGAATTTAAATTTGAAATAATTTACAAAGACAACGGTATATGGTAATACGTCCGTTCTCCCGTATCTCATTTTAATCGGTTGAATTAAAGACTTTTTTGTTGGTAGAACATAAATTAATTCAATGAGTTTAAAGACACTTTGATTGATTGTTGTTCCAAAGGAATTTAGTCTAGGTGCTCTATTAAACATCAAGTTTCATGAAAATCTAATTGAAAAGACGGTTATATCCTACATTTGTGACCACTGTATCTGACTTTACCGTTGTCAGGCTATTCCGGCGTGAATTGTAACATCCGTGAGCTTATCGGAGAACATTTCAAAATAGTGCAGTCAGTTATGACAATAAAACCCTTGAATTGCACTTGCAATAAATATGTACGGCACCATTTTTTGACCAAAGTATCATTATTACATATATTTATGAAATCCACCGAAGTGGTGTCAAAAAATGGCCCCAGTGGATGATAACAGGCTTCGAGAATTTTGCATGTTTCCATTGAGCCCCATGTTAATTCATCAATCTTCAAAAGACCCCCTGCAGAACAGTTCAAGAGCAATAAAGTCAATCTTCCTAGTATGTAACCATGACTCAAATGTCTTCAAAATAAGAAGGGTTACAAGCGAAATTTTGTCTCGTTCAAAATATATTTGTGTTTGAATTTTGGAAATTTCTCATTGACTGCCATTATAAACTACTCTCAATATGGCTTTACTAAAGGGTCATTTTCTCCAAAAGTCCATTATGGAATTTTCTGATGTTGCAGATTTCTACAGCCAATATATTGACTTTCAAAAAGCAAACAGGTACATTTCTAAAAATTTCTTATTTTTAATATATCTAGTTATTAAGTTGCTCACAAAAACTCCATTGAGTCCCATGTTAATTTATCAATCTTCAAAAGACCCCCTGCAGAACAGTTCAAGAGCAATAAAGTCAATCTTACTAGTATGTAACCATAACTTGAATGTCGTCAAATTAAGAAGGGTTACAAGTTGGATTGTGGATTGAATTTTGGGAAATCCCCATTGACCGCCATTATAAACTACTATCAATATGGCTTTACCAAAGTGTCATTGTCTCCAATAGTTCATTATGGAATTTTCTGATATTGCAGATTTCTATAGCCAATATATATTGACTTTTAAATACTCAAACTGGCACTTTTCTAAAATTTTTGATTTTTAATATATCTAGCCATTAAGTTGCACATGAAAACTCCCATTGGCTGCCATTATAAACCGCAGTCAACATGGCTTTACTAATAAAGTGCCATTTTCTCTAAAAGTCCACTATGGAATTTTCTGATATTGCAGATTTCTATAGTTGATATATTTACTTTTTAAAAACCAAACAGGCACATTCCTAAAAATGTCTTGTTCTTAATATATTTACTGCCATTGACTGCCATTATAAACTGATGTTAATATACTTTTACTACAGTGTCCTTTCCCCGAAAAGTCCAATATGAATATCTCTGATATTGCAGATTTCCTATTTCTATAAATCAGAAAATTTCATAGTGGACTTTTGGCGAAAAGTACACTTTATTCGTAAATCCATGTTTATAGCAGTTTATAATGGCAGCCAATGGGGATTTTCGGTCAACTTAAGGGCTAAATATGTTAAAAATAAGAACGTTTTAGAATTGTGCCTGTTTGGTTTTTTAAAAGTCAATATATTGGCTATAGAAATCTGCAATATCAGAAAATTCCATCGTGGAGAAAATGGCACTTTAGTAAAGCCATATTGATAGAAGTTTATAATGGCGGTCAATGGGAGTTTTCCAAAATTCAAACACCAATATATTTTGAACTACATGTAGATAAAATCCAACTTGTTACCCTTCTTATTTTGAAGACATGCAAGATATGTTTACATACCAGGAAGGTTGACTTTATTGGTCTTGGACTGTTTTGCAGGGGGTCTTTTGAATATTGATAAATTAACATGGGACTCAATGGATTTTTCGTGAGCAACTTAATAACTAGATATATTAAAAATAACAAATTTTTAAAAATGTGCCTGTTTTGATTTTGGAAAGTCATTATGTTGGGTATAGAAATCTGCAATATCAGAAAATTCCATAGTGAACTTTTGGAGAAAATGGCACTTTACTCGTATTAGCAAAGCCATGTTGATAGCTTTCATAATGGCAGCCAATGGGAGTTTTCGTGAGCAACTCAATGGTTAGATAATGAAATTTTAGAAATGTGCCTGTTTGGTTTTTAAAATTCAATATATTGGCTATAGAAATCTGCAATATAAAAAAATTCCATAGTGGAATTTTGAAAAAAATGACACTTTAATAAGGCCATATTGAGAGCAGTTTATAATGGCAGTCAATGGGAATTTTCCAAAATTCAAACACCAATATCTTTGGAACTAGACAAAATCCGGCTTGTAACCCTTCTTATTTTGAAGACATTTAAGTCTCGGTTACATACAAGGAAGATTGACTTTATTGTTCTTGAACTCCTCTGCAGGGGGTCTTTTGAAGTTTGATAAATTAACATTGAACTCAATGGAAACATGCAAAATTTTCGAGCCCTGTTATTATCCACTGGGGTTAATTTTAACACCACTTCGGTAGATATCAAAAATATATGTATTAATGATACTTTTGTCAAAAAATGGTGACGTATATATAGCAAGTGCAATTAAAGTGCTAACTGACTACACTAAAAGGCATATTGATCGGATGATTGCGGGACTCTTGGTTTTGACACACGAGGTCTGGAAACGGTCAATGTAGGTTGTAACGTATTCTTTAGAGTAGCTCCATTTGCTTTGTACTTCAACTCTCGTTTATAATCAGATTGGAGACTTTCACTTTGACGAGAAATGAATTCGTCCGTCGTCGGATCAGGCACGTGACCAGCTTTTGCAAGGGGTCCAAAATTTACAAGGGCTCTATATTGTTGTTGTTAGTTTTGTCCCAAAATAGCGAAAAGTAGTTTACGTGACATTTTGATACAGACAAATACATTTAAAACCACGCAAAATGCATTTTATTCATGGACCACTGCGTTTCATTCATGTAGCACTTACACATGTAACCCTTCTATCACACCAAACTAGTTTTCACTACGTTCTCGAAACCGGGCTTCAACTGTGTACGGACGGACTGGACATACTTAGAACCGTTTGGGGTCAATTTACAAACTTCATCGAACGTACTCGAACGGGTAGGTCCTCTAGAACTAAAGGCCCCCTCACATATGGACGAATTCACTAAGCGCAGTCTTGCGAATAGGAATTGAGTAAAAGTCGTTCCCATTAGTACCTGTACGTTATACATCGTTGGGGTGTTCGTATATGTAAGTACCCCCTCGGAAAGCTTCGGAAGCATGCGCAAAAATGTGCTTCAGTTCGCATGCTTACGTTCCCAATCGCCAGAATTGACTTCGCAAGACTGCGTCTGGTGGAATCGTTCATATGTGAGGGGGCCTTTAGAACATGCTCAAAATGTTCTCGTGGTCGATACGTTCTACAATAAGAACGAGTGACAACGTACTAACGACGAGCTGGACGTACTACGAACGGAACTGTCGTACTTCAATCCTACTAGGACGTTTTAACAACGAGTTGAACTGTCTGAGGACGCATTGAGAACGAAGTAAAACTAATTCACCCTATGCAGACAGAGCCTGTGGGAAATATTGGGTGCGGAGCAAATGAGCGGAGGGTGCGGAGCTAACGGTCATTTTTGAATTAAAATTTGGGATATTTCTGAAACTAAGCCGTTTTGGGACTTCAAATATACCAAGATATGTGTATTTGACTCCAAATATCAATGCAATTGTGAAAATAGGAGCGCAATTCATTCTATAGCAACGCAGTGTGCCTTAAACCTTTCCCAGACCTATATATTTTGAAATTATCCTTTTAATACTGAGTCCCCAGCATTCATAAAAAATGGTGTTCAAGGTACACTATCTATACAAATTATTTTTGCATCTTGGAAGCCAGGCAGTATCTGTGTGATTTTATAAAAATTCGGAATGTTTCTCAGATATGAGCCCCCTCTAAATTTTGGGTGCGGAGCTCCATAAACGTAGCTCCGCACCCAATATTTAGAGGGGGCTCATATCTGAAGAACATTTCCGAATTTTTATAAAATCACACTGATACTGCCTGGCTTCCAAGATGCAAAAATAATTTGCATGGGTAGTGTATCTTGAACACCATTTTTTATGAATGCTGGGGACGCAGTATTAAAAGGATAGTCTCAAAATATATAGGTCTGGGAAATGTTTAAGGCATACTGCGTCGCTATTAAATGAATTGCACTACTATTTTCACAATTTTATTGATATTTGGTGTCAAATACACATATCTTGGTATATTTGAAGTCCCAAAACGGCTTAGTTTCAGAAATATCCCAATTTTAAATTCAAAAATGACCGTTAGCTCCGCACCCTCCGCTCATTTGCGCCGCACCCAATATTTCCCACAGGCTCTGTCTGCATAGGGTGTAACTGCAAACGGGTTTATACTGATTAAGAAAGTATTAAAGACTGCTTATGAACGAGTTAGCAAAAATATAGCTATCACTCCAAACAAGTTGCAACTGCGTTCTTCAAAACTGATTTTAAACTGTGTGCGAACGGAATGAACGTAACTGCAACTTTCTAAAGTCTATTTACGAACTTCATGAACGTTCTCAGACGGGAAGGTGATTTTAGAATTTTTAATCTATTCAAAATTCGATGACGACCATACCGTTCTGTAATCAGGTCATGTTGACCTTCTAGACTAAGGGACGCGTTCTACGACGTTGCACTCCGACGTGGTGCGACCTGAACGAACTGCGAACGAGATGGACGTATTGAAGACTGTTTAAGAACGAAGAAGCTAATTATTTCAGACATATTTCCCGACCACAGCCAGATTGAGCCCGTTTGACGACGTTTTCGTAGGACTGGCAAGAACGGGTAAGAACTAGTTTGGTGTGATAGGGGGTTAGACACATTTTCCGACCACAGCCAAATCGAGCCCGTTTTATGACGTTTTCGTAGGACTGGCAAGAACGGGTTAGAACTAGTTTGGTGTGATAGGGGGTAAACATGATTCATTATACGTTCCTAATGAAATTCAATACTACATTATATTGGCGTTTTTGCATCAGAACATTTGTGTTTTTGCATCATTGATAAAAAAGTGGCGTTTTGCATCAAAAGTGAGAAACTAAAACCGTGAATTCCTCGGTTCTTGATGATGCTAGATGAATATAGAACGTTTTTTTAAATCATAGATAATTATGTGACTGCTCGTGTACAATTTTTGAGAAACTCGTCCAAGAAATGGGTTTAAACTGGGAAAACAAAATATCTTTCGAAAATCTATCACTGGAAGGCTGGCTATTTTGTTGTTTTTGCATCACGGTATCCCCAAGTGGTTTATGTGATGGGTCGTATATATTTGGGTTCTACTTTGGGTTACTTACTGACAAAAATATTTCTAAAACTCTGCCTTTGATCAAATTGAAACTTGTAAACTTAACAATGAAATAATGTTTGATAGCCTTACCTTCATATACATCACCACATGGACAGTCGACGCCAGAAGTAGTTGCCGTGCAAACTGGATCAGCATCAATCGAACACTCGAGGGGACCCTGATTGGTTGTCGCAATGGGTTGCGGTGTTGTCCGCCTTGGTGTTGTCCGCCGTGGTGTTGTTCGCCTTGGTGTTGTTCGCCGTGGTGTTGTTCGCCTTGGTGTTGTTCGCCGTAGTGTTGTTCGCCTTGTCGTCGTTGGTATAGGTGTTGTGCGTCTTGGTGTAGTAGGTCTGGGCGTTGTTCGTCTTGATGTAGGTCTAGGTGTCGTTTGTGTTTGAGTTGTTCGACGAGTGGTTGGTTGTACAGTAGTGGTATCTATTGATGCGTTATCACATTCATAACCGTCTTTAAAATCACTTGCTTTCTTCAAAAGTGACTTAAACATCGATTCTATTTTGGAAAGTACCTTAGACACTTTTAGCAGCTGTTTACTGAAGGGTTTGAAAATCTTGTTCAAAGAGGTCAATGTCGTCTTTTCCGAACCATCATCAAGCTTTTTAAGTGAACTGGCTATATCTTTACCCCATCTTTTACCAAGAGAAGACAGAGTATTAATATCCGATCGTTTTTGTTCCCACGTCAGTGAATCAAACGAGACCAAATAGGCATCGGCCTGTCTCATTAGATTGTCTCCTAATATACTGATGTAATTATTTGCGTCCAGTTCCCTGTACTTTGATTTGACGCGGGGAGAGCCTGAACTCATGACCGCAATTCCCTTTTGGATAAGTTTGACCTGTTTTGGCATTGGCTTAAGACTTTTAAGAATCGCTCTTAGTGACTTCTTTTCTGCAGAGGTCAACGTGTCGTCAGTTTTACTTTCTCCGAGTATGACTTTGTAAATATCATTTAAGTTCTTCATTAAGTCAGGCATTGCTTTAGTCTTGTAAGTGTTCGTTAAGTAAATGGTATCTTGAATTCCATGGCATATGGCCACTGATTGACCTTCCACATTCTTGTAGACGAGCGCCACCACGACGAGGCGCAAAATTAATAAATCTAAAATGTGAAAGACCATCTTTCATTATCTTAAATGAAAGTCACTGAACACTATATATAAATCGTGTATTATTCTTAGATTACATACGTGGCATGCTGTTTGATCGAATGATCGAGTACCATGTTTTCTTTATGTTTTCTTCGTTTATAAAGCTTCGTATATAAAACTATCAAATATACAGCTCGTATTATATGTTGTATAAAGAGTAAAAAGTCCATGATGTGTGATACAACGTTTTAGTAATTTTAAATTATGATCGAGTCAACATATCTACTTACCCATACTTTCAGTTAAGGATGAATTACTTCAGGAAAGTCTACAGTTATATACAAAAACATGCTATGGAAAGTCCATGACATTAAATCTTGGACAGATAGGAAACAATTCGATTTCAAAATAATAATAAACCACCTGTTTAACGCAATGAGTGTCCCTTTCTCATGATAACAATGAGAAATACAGGAAAAACAATGACTCTTCATTAATTAGATTTTGTAAAACGTGACTGACCTTTACAGGAATACTCGGTTGACATTTCCGACTGCTAAAACAAAGCAAGACTTTGGTAGAACGGACAACAATAAAATGAACTACAGGCAAAATAGAACAAACATGTTTCAAAAGGCGCCATTGTCCGAATACACTGCGATATAAATTAATTGTGTGAACGTCGTCCATTGATAGTGTGGCATTTTTATTGCGCTTGTACTTCGTATTTTTATTCACTATACTGAAGGCTGTATTTATGTTTATCACGATATTAAAACATGATTACTGTGTAATTTCTGAATCATCGTACTTTTCAATGTATTTAATAATATACTATCCTTCTTCAATTGTCTATTGTGTATTTCGCTTATATGCCTCGGTCACATTTACCCAGATTTTCTCAACGACGCCCGACCGATTGAGTATTTTGTTCAAAGTTACATTCAATTTTGAACAAAATACTCAATCAGCCTGGCTCCAGCCTATGAATCGGGGCAAATGTGACCCAGGCATCCTTTCAAAGGAGGGGGTTGGTAGTGTTACGACCCTGGATACCGGATTGCTACTACAGCACAGCTGTGTTGGCTTAAGTCTTGATAGCTCAGTCGGTAGAGCATCAGACTCTGGAGCCGAAGGGCCTGGGTTCGTTTCTCGTACGGGCATTGAATTTAGCACACCCCTTCCAGGTACAATACGTATCTGGCGTGTTACCCTATCGTTAGTTAGTCTTTCCCCTGGGGGCGCCCTCGCGTCATTACAAAATTATTAATGATGATGTGTCCCGGCAACCTTTAGGTACAGTATTGCTGCAACTTATGAGTGATGTTTTGTAACTACATTTAATGCAATCATACAAAGTGCTACCAGCGTTTGCATGTCCCATTCCAAGAAATCTCCCACGACAGGAAAGCTGATCATTTTTCCATACAGGTGTTTTAATCAAAAAATTCACAAATTATCTACTACCAATTGTCATGCAATGCTCTTAACTAATCATTTTGCTGCCTTGATAAATTCTTGAGACTTTGAACCCCGTGGTTCGAGAGCAAGGAACGTAATTCGCGATATCAGAACTGATGTTCGCGTTGTTGGAAGTCTTGGAGGCCTGGTATTGATTCATTAAATAATGCGGATGGTGTATTTGTACTAGTACCATATAACACTACTTCTACTTGGCACTGTTTTCACTGCATGCATATTGATCGCCTTACTATTACAAGTGCGTGATCAAAGAGTGGACAAGATCCGCAAAATTCAAATATGTATTTAAGGTCTCATGGAAGTTTACAGGAAATGACAAAACAAAAAATGACAAAGCCATGCTGGATTTTGAAAATTTTTTGAACCAAGATAACAGAGTTCTGTTTGGACCTCCAGTCAGTTTAACTAGTTCCAAATATCATTTACATGACCAGGAACACAATTGAAATGGTCAGAATGACCATAAACATGATAAAATAACCTTTTTAGCCCTGTTAACTTCCATGAGACTTCCATGAGACCTTAAGGAATAAATAATGATAGGCCATTCAATATGGTGAAATTCGGCACGAGTTGGACAGAATGTTGTACAAAGCACGAACCGAAGGTGAGTGAATTTGTACTAACATTCTGTCCAACGAGTGCTGAATTTCACCATATTGAATGGCCTATCATTATTTATTCCGATTCAAACATAAAAAATAGTAAAAGCCGTGTCTGTGGAACGGGCATGAAGGAAGAATAAGCCTACGCATGCTGTCAAGATTCTGAAGTCGGCCGGAAAAATTTTAGAATTTGTTTGGGCTGTTCTATTTTACTCCCCGTTTTAGGTTTTATACGGTGTATGCAAACATGGGGTGTCAGTCATAGTTAAATAGTTACAGTAGTTACGGAGGGAGTAAAAAAGAACAACTATCCCCGGACAGAGCCCCAGATGTGCAGCTGAGATGTGACGTCACTCAAAACAATGCAAATTGCAGATTGAATAGAGCATGGTCGTGCATCTATGGAGAATTAGAGAACGTTCTATATTGGCTATGCTGCATTCTGATTGGTGGAGAAATTCGAATAGAGCACGGTCATGTTTGAATTGTGTTTATATTACAGGCTACTGGTGATTCAATGAGGCTTTGTAAGCACAAGCACACCCATATGCTTAAAGAAATATATATCAGTTTGGCCATTTTTTGTGTGATTGATTTTACGATGTAAAGATATAAATGCGATATTATATGTGATATTTTATTTGAAAAGCCTTTAAATATCAAAAACAATAGAACAATTTTACTCTCTTTAATTTTTTATACTTGGGTAGGGTCTTGGGCTTCCATTTGACCATGATGAAATTCACGTTTCCTTTTGAATAACATGGAAAAATATTTTAACACAGAAATGAATGGATCAGCCTTTAACGTGAGTTTCAGCAGACCATACACCCATAACTATATGGTCCTCAAGAGAAGAAAATGGGGTTTCTCGCAATATGTATGTCAAAAATAAACACGTACATCACCGTTCACTGATTCAGTCAATTAAATGGTCACTGTGTGTGCGTACATTTTGTTTTTCTGTCTAGGTTTGAATACAATACCATTACATGATATGTACACTGTACAGTAGAACCTGCTAAGTGAAACACGCCTTAAGGCGTAACACCAGTGGAACAGTTTTTAAAGTCCCGTTTCAGTCCATTTATTTTACCCTCTGATTCAAAGGTATGAAAACGTTACACCTTGGCATCCAAGATGATTGTCTAATTGTAATGCAAAAATGCATGTCACTGTATCGCCCATCATCATGATTGTGCTTGTTTTGGACACGGGGTCTCATAATAAACTTATAAAATATAAAATCTGAATTGTACATTATCTATTTCATTGGGGAATTAAATCATTCTTTTTCAGCAAGGTATCAATAAGTTATATAAAAATGTAATGACGTAATAACCTTCAGTAAATGCCAGTAGTCAATTCCCAGTTTCTCCACGAGGTGGCTAACTTGGGTCATATATGAATGACAGGTATAACGGAAAGCTCCTCTAAAGGTCAATATTCAGTAGATTTATTGATCAATTTTCAACTAAGGTCTATAGGTGATTAGAATTTTAGAATTGTGTGTAATCGAATGCAAAATAAACCCCCAGTGGGCGTTTTTGGAGAAACTCTACAAAGTGTGAAATAAATACCATGCTTATCTCTAATGACAGAGTTATGTGGATGGGACTGAGGGAATGTTCCAGTTTGAGCTTTTCCCATAGGGATATGATCTCATATTCACTGGTGGACACTAATGGAGAATGAGAGTCTATTGTAATTTCAGAATCATCTATTGTCATTTCATTACTAATTTGATATTTTCGTTCTATTGCAATTTCATTGGTAATTTTATTTGATTTTGTAGCAGTTGAATCAGAGATATTGGGTGATTTCATTCGATTATTGTCAGTCTCTGAAATTGTCATAAATTCATCACTTTCCACAATTATGTGTTTATTTGTTGGTTTCGATCACTTCATTTGGTATTATCCCAGAGAAATTTCTTGTTATCATTCTAAATTTCCCTCTATTTTTAGTTATCTTTCTCCTCTTCATCTATTCTTCTTCATGATGCTCTACAAGGTGGTTTATAATGTTTTGAAATTTAGGAGTTCGTAATGAAGGACAGTAAAAACATGTAAACCACTCTGAAATGCAAAGAACATATCATTAGAAGCCACATGGTAGACTCACACACTTGGCGGATCATAAATTGTTTTCATA